AATTTCAGTTGAATTATGACAGTTATTGAGTATTATTATAAAAAAAAAAGGTGCTCTTCTGTACAGTATGTTACAAGTGGGTCACTGTATAATGGATTGTCTTAAATTTGAATTAAACGATATAATATAATAGTATAAGAAAAACGATTCTGAGCGGAGACGGTATGTCAGTCTAGGTATAAGACATATTACATACTTATCTATCGTATTAAAAAAAATTTAGGTACCTATAATAAATTCCAAATTAATCATACCACAATATCCATTAGGTACTTATAATGCGTTATACGTCAACAACAAACCTTGATACTATCATAGTCCATACTCCATAGATATATAATAGTGTACTTTAGAAGTTTCAAGTACCCACGAATAATATCACACAATCACAACAAAATAACTAAAATAGTTATTATAGGTTTTTTTTTATGTAATTTTGTCGAAAGTTGAACTTAAAATGACTATAAAAATAAACTGTGCATATGTATTTTTTAGATTTTTTGGTAAATTAATTAAATACTTACGCGGAATCTTGTTTTAAATTTTCAATACTTAAATTTAAAAGTTGAACATTTTATACATTTTTAACTACAAAATAATTATTCAATTTTAAATTTGATAAATTTTGTCAAAATTCGATCTTTAAATGCTTATAAAAAAAATTGTGCTAATGTATTTTTAATATTTTTCAACTGATATTGTAACAATATATCAGGAGCCTTGTATTAAATTTTTACATTTTTTGGCCCAACAGATAAAACTTTATTGATATTTATAGAATAAAAAACTAAAAAAATTGGAAACTGAAAATGTCTGTAAACAGCTCAAAAAGAGTCGAAATATTTTCAAAATTTTACAGTGTATAGGAAATGCTAATCTGAACATTCAGTAAAATTTTCATGTATCTATAGTTATTTGTTTTTGAATTACAACAAAATAAGAAAATCGCTACATGAGAAATCAAGGGAATATCCTATGTTGTAAAAATTTGAATTTCAAACGCTCATAAAAATTTAATTTGACTTTCTTATAGATAATTATTTATAATTAGGTTTGGTTATTATTTAATTAAATTATTGCTAGTTGGCAACAAATATTTTAATACATCATTTGGACAAAGTTCATTTAAAGAGGGACAAAAATTCCTACTTTTCAAGAAACCTAGAAAATATTATCAAATCATTTTTTTACTCTATTTAATTTGGTTTTTAAATATGAATAATATAATATATATTATTTTAATAATATAAATTGTTATTTAAATGACTTGTCTTCTGCATTTAAATTTAACTGTTATATCACTTACATGACTTAAGAGTATGTTATGGAATTTTCATAGATAAAAAATCAAAATTAATATTATTGAATTTTCCACCGTCACATTTTAATTATTTTTTTTACTCTTTCTAATATTTTTCCGTGTTATCAATAATATCCACTATCAAGTTTTAATATCATTACATTCATTATTTCTACTTAGTGTAGATCAATAGTATATATAATTTTATAACTATACTAAATTTGATAGACAAACCTACAATAAATAAATAAATTATTATTCATAAATTGTTGAACTATCTTTTTATATGGTAATACCATTGATTATTATTATTATTATTATTATTATTGATTATTCTATAATGGATGGTAATACCAGTATTGAGCAGTAAAGTAATGCAATTAATAATTTATTTGACTTTGTCCATTATGTTTTTGACTATATATTAATTTGCAGAAAATAATATCATCTCAGTGCAACTATACATTCTTTGTCAAATTGAATTTATTATATGTTATATTATTTTCTTACCAAAAAATACCCACAGACTAGGATGAATCACAGAATACTTAATTCATAGAGCGTTATGGAAGCTTTCTATGTTGTTATTAGTTTGATCAGGCAATCCATGAACTGATACAATTTGTGGACCAACATTTCTTATCCAATACGCTTAAACAAAATTATTGATTTCAAATTTATTAGATTAATTTTTCTATACAAGATTAGACTTGTAGATTCTGAGCGGAGCAAGGAAGCTAGTGGTTTTACAATGGTGTTTATTTTTTTTTTTTTTTTTTTATATCCTGTATACAAAATTTCTACCAGAAGGAGTGCTTTGATTTCAACATATAGTACCTTATCTTTTAGCAAATTGGACCAAGATGGTACTTTAGAAAGGTCATTTTTCGATTTTCTCAATAGTTATTTAATGCCACGGGAAAAAGTACTGAAAAATTACGAAAAACCGCTTAAAATGGGATTTTAATTTCTAACAGTTTGTTTATCACCGTAGCAACGAATAAAAAAAAAATAGGTAGGTATTATCTATATAAATATCATAAATTATTAACATGTATCATTAACTTATGAGTCAGTACCGACTTATCATAGAACCGCGGGTGATTAGGTTCATGGTAGGAAATAGTATAAAATTAATCTAAATATTTTAAAAATGTCATTGTATAAAAAGGCAGGTAAGTATTTTTTTTTTTTGTCTACGAATATCAATAAAATTGTTTATATAATTTCAATAAATTGTTACAATAATAGTTATAAACCAGGAATAACGATTTTAATTATTTTGTTGTAGTTTATAGTATTAAAACAACTTACATGTTATAATAATTAATGACAATATAAAATATACAGACTGACAAACCGTCTCCGTTCAGAATCGTTTTTCTTATACAATGATATTATATCATTGAATTCAAGTTTAATACAATCCATTAAACAATGACCAACTTGTAACCTACTGTACAGCTGAGCGACATCCACTTACCTGCCTTTTTTTTTTAAATTTATAATTTGAATTTAAAGATATTATAATAATAATAACCATTATAATATATTCAGATGAATAAAACGATAGTACACCTGATATAGATTAGATCTAAACAATGTACTATGTAGGTTAGTGATATACCATCAGTACTTAAAGTTAATAGTAATATAAAGAAAATACATTTTTCTCTTACTCATTTTTACATATTATTACAGTTTAAATTTAAATTAAGAATCATGTCTAACGGAGAAAAGAATAAATCAAAGCCAACTGTAAGTTTATTACACAAAGCATTGGCTCTTAGTGGAATTTTTTAGTAGAACACGAGAGTAAAATAGTTATTGTAAGCTAAAATGTTAAAACATTATTATATTATCTCTGCAGGCAAATCAACTGTTTTATATTATGTATTTCTTATTGACCTCCGTTGGACTTAAATGATTTATAAAATATTATATATGAATTTATGCATTTATGAAATTTTAGAATAAATTAAGCATTAAAATAATAATTAACTAAAATTAAAATTTTTTTTTAATTACAAATTACAATACAATTTAAATAAATATTTCCAATAAAACCCATAAGTTGTAAAGTTATTATCTAACAACAAAAATGTATTGTTTAGATAAATTCTAAATTTTACTATTTTAAGATTAAGACACCTAATGGAAATTGTACAGGATGTACGAACAGCTAAGAATAGTTTCTTAACTACTAATGTAATGAGTAAAAAAACCCGGAGAAAATGGAAATAAAATAAAAATAAAAATTGATCAACTTCAACAAAAAAATAAAGGGCTCATCATTTTGAAAAACGTAGCTAAAGTTTTGAATGGAAATAATGAAGTTCAACGTATAGACAATTTTTCACCGTCTATGATTACTGATTTTCAAAATGCTCCCGTGACTTCAGTTGACATCGAACGTTCATTTAGCACTTATAAAAATATAATAACATACCGTTGTAAAAATAAGACACCAGAACACATGGAGCAAAATATAGTTGTTAACTGTTTTCAAAAATTGTCTTAATTAAAAATACCTTATTGTTATTAATATAATTTAATCAATTCTTTTTTAACATGTATTATTTTGCTTATTTTATGCATATTATTTTTTATCATATACTTTTATATTACTTTTTATTATATACCTACTTAATTATATCAGTTTTTTTTTTGTATTATTTTGCATATAAATGAATATTTTTATTTCAAGAGAATATATTCATTAAAAAGCATATTTTTCGCATATTTTATTATGATTTTTAAAGAATATTGGAAGAATATTTTCAACTTTTTTAGAGAATATTAGCATCTTATTTTGGCTATTTTAAAAGAATATAATTCCAGCCCCTAGTAATGACTAATGTTATTGAAAATTATTGGCTTCAATAAATTATAATTAATAATAACTAATCAATATTAGTTGTAAATGTAAATGTATAATTTTTTGTTAGTTAAATTTTAAACAAGATATTTTTATTATAAATTACTGTTCATAATATTATGTCTACAAACGTTCTAGATTCCCTCCATGATTTTGACAAAATGTCCGAATCAACAAAAATTCGCTGTTTATATCTCTGGCAGTCAATAACGGAAGAGACAAGAGGAGTCTTAAAGCTTTCAACGCATTGTCATTGTTGTTGACATGGTGTCAGTAGCCTAAGTTTTTCATTTTCTCCATACAGCCTTAACAATATACATATAATAATATTATGTCATTAATTAATTAATGACAATTTTATTAATGACCTATTTATTTTAATTGGTACTTGACTATATGGTGAAAAAAACACCCAACAGCACGAGATTCTGGAAATGCCGAAATCATCTTATCCCTTAGTGCTGTTTCATAACCTGTAATTATGGTTTCTGGAGCTACATTTGGCCATAGATTATTTCTAATAAATCGTATTACACAATAACACAAATTCCTTGACTTGCTTTCCATTAGAACATATACTATGGGTATGGACTGAAATAACGAGTCTAGCATTTTTAGCCTTAATTATTCATATATATGAAAAATTATTGAAATAATCTTACATTTTACTAGGCATATGAAAATAGAACAATAACTTACATAGTTCTGAGTCATACAGTGTATTGTCAACAACTGATATCCCATATTAACTGGGACCACTTTAAATGTTTCATCAGTGACTACATTTCTAAGTAGGTATAATGTATATGCTGTAACAAGTTGATGCATGCGAAAATAACATTACTCCTGCCATCAACATCATGTACGCATCCTCTAAAGAATGGAGTATCAAATCATCCAAATCGATTGAGTTGTTCATTTTCAAACAATGTGGCCAAGTCGGATAGTGAATTTGGCAGTCTTGGCATTGCACTTCTCCATTTAAATCGCATAATCGATTCAGCAGTAGACCATGGATATAATCCTGCTGCTATCACATGTCTGTATTAATTATTATTCAATATCAATAAATTACCTACAGTGTAAATGACACAGTATTTAATAAAAATAAATGTGATACATTGATTTCAAATGAAATTAAGATTCTTTAAGATTCTTTGTATATAACTTCGCTGAATGGCTCGGGATTTTTTTTTTGTAAATACCCAGTGCTGTGAAGAATACTTCTAAAATGTATTTGAGTAAATACTAAAATAAATTTTTTTGTCGAGTATTTAAAATACTACTCAAATACTTTGAGAGAGTATTTGGAAATTGGAATACCTTAAAAATACTTTTGGTTTTTAAAGTAGGTTTATAATCTTGTTTATTTTAATTATTTATTAAATAAATGTTTATTACATTTTAAAAACATTAGGGCCTTGTTCAATATTCATAGTCAATGCTTAAGAATAAGTATTGCCTAAGCTAATTTTAATAATTTAAAAATACAAATTTGTGATAATAACTTAAAGCAATGCTTAAGGTAGGTCTCGACCAACCTTAATTTAAGTACCTAGGTAATAGTTTTTCTTTTTTTAGGCCAAAGTCTCGTTTATGTATCTCATTTGAATCGTAAGTGTAGCTTAAGTAATATTTATTCTTAAGCATCGACTACAAATAGTATTCAATTAAACATGGACCTTAGTTTTCAAAATGTTCATATATTTTTATTGAATAACTATTGAAAAAACCGGGTTTTCACAAACATTTGGGCTAACACAGAAATACAGAATACTAAATAAAACTATTACTATAGTTGGCAACAATATTTTTTCAACCAAATATTTTGAATAAAAATAAAATGTTTGAAAAAAAAAGTATTCAATACAATTAAGTATTTAATACAAAAAAAAGTATCGAAAATACTTCATGCCGAAAATATTTAGAAAGTTATTCAATACTTGAAAACTTTTAATCAAATACTTTACAGCACTGTAAATACTAAATCATTCCAAATTACTCTATTTATTGTAATAATCATTAGTCGATTTAAGAGGAAGGGGACGAGAGGTCCCCGACATAGACTTACCATCTATATCAAAAAAAGGTGGGCAAGTGGGTGTCGCTCTGCTGTACAGTAGGTTACAAGTGGGTCACTGTAAAATGGATAGTATTAAATTTTAATTCAATGGTATAATATCATTGTATAAGAAAAACGATTCTGAGCGGTGACGGTATGTCAGTCTATGTATAAGACATATTATATACATATCTATGGTATTAAACAAAAAATTGACCTATAATAGGTACCTATAATAAATTTAAAATTTATCATATCACAATATCCATTAGATACTTATAACGCGTTATACATCAACAAAAACCGTGATACTATCATAGATATATAATAGTACACTTTAGAAGTTTCAAGTACCCACGAATAATATTATTCAATCACAACAAAATAACTAAAACAGTTATTCTAGGTTTTTTAATATTTAATTTCGTCCAAATTTGAATTTAAAATGTCTGTAAAAAATAAGCGTGTTCATATATTTTTTAGATTTTTTGGTTATAGTATGAACTATTTATGAGAACCTTTGTGTTGAATTTGTAATCCTTAGCTATAAAAACTGAACATTTTATAATTTATTAATTACAATGATTGATAATTTTCGAGATTTTGATAAATTTTGTCAAAATTTGATCTTTAAATGCTTATAAAAAAAAACTGTGCCTACGTATTTTTAATATTTTTCAACTGCTATTGTAACAATATATCAGGAGCCTTGTATTAAATTTTGACACTTTTTGGCCCAAGAGATAAAACTTAATTGATATTTATAGAAAAAAAAACTAAAAAAAATTGAAAGCTCTAAATGTCCATAAACAGCTCAAAAAGAGTCAAAATATTTTCAAAATTGTATGGTGTATAGAAAATGCTAATTTAAACATTCAGTGAAATTTTCATGTATCTACAGTTGTTCGTTTTTGAATTGCAACAAAATAAGGAAATCGCTACATGAGTAATCGAGTGAAAATCCAATGTTGTAAAAATTTGAATTTCAAAGGCTCATAAAAATTTAATTTGACTGTCCGGTAGAGATTTTTTTATTGATAAAGGTAGATAATCTTATAAGGAATCTTGTGTTTCATTTTCAAATCTTAGATTTAAAAAGAAAAATTTTGACGAATTCTTAACTCAAAATAATTTGCTAATTTTCGTGATTTTTCCATATTTTGTCAATTTTTGAACTTTAAATGCTTATAAAAAAAAATTGTGACTAAGGATTTTTAATATTTTTCATCTGCCTTTGAAACAATATATTAGGAGCCTTCTCTTAAATTTTCAAGCTTTTGCAACCAACAAATAAAATTTTATTGATATTTCTAGAAAAAAAACTAAAAAAAGATGGAAAATGAAAATGTCCCTAAACAGTTCAAAATAAATCAAAATATTTTGAAAATGTTATCGTGTATATAAAATGCAAATATAAACAACCAGTGAAAATTTCATGTATATACGTTCATTTGTTTTAGAGTTACACCAATAACCAAAATCGATTTTTTGGAAAACCAATTTTGCGTAAAAATTCCCGTTTTTCCTTAATTTTTATGTGGTTTTTCCCGGCGCTTGTTAAAACTACTGGGAAATTTATACTTTTGACCCCCCCAAAGTACCAACTAGATTCACTTTCCTATCAGAAAAGCTACTGATGAAGAAAATCCAAGAACTTTTACTGTCCTAAAACGTGATGACAGACACAAAAAAAAATATAAAAATATAAAAATAAAAAAATATAAAAACATACATCATTGTAAAACCAATACATTCATCGCTCCGTTCAGAATCTAATAGTTACCTACGTATAATTTATATAATGTAACAAAATTCAAAAATAAATAAATATTTTAGAAAGTCTTGGTAATTTTCGCTTTAATAAATATTATATATGAATAGCAGGTATAGGTACCTAACAATAAAATTAACTGCTTTATATTATAAAGTATTATAAGTCAATAGGCTGGTGTGGTGTGAACAGTTTGAGATTATTTAAAAAGGATGGATATTTATATTTTCCAAACATACTTCAATTTTTATTTATTCTAGCAGTATTACCAGTTACAACATCTACAATAGGTGAGAGATATTTTTCAATTCTGAAAAATATTAAATGTTGTATTTTAGAATGACTGTTATTGGGGCTTATCACTATTTTTCATTTTTTTATAACCCTAAGAATATACCTTCTTCATTATTCATCGTAAATGCTTTTCAACGGTATATTTTCTTTAGCTGCTCGTTGTTTTAAAACTGCTTGGAAATTAGAGATCAAGCCCTGGTTACTGATCCCTGGTTCTCTACTATGACCTCTGTGTGGTTTAACCTTAACGAATGTACCATTTTTTAATCTTTTTATAGAAACGTTACAAAAATGTGTACGAGCTTCAATGCATTTAAAATAACTGAAATATTAAAAAGTTGCTCTGCTGTACAGTAGTTTACAAATGGGTCACGGTATAATGGATGGTATTAAATTTGAATTCAAAGATATAATATTGTAACGTGGTCGGGGATGGCCCGTTAAATATAAGATATTCAGGGAAGAAATTAATTCTTTTGAATATATTTTTACCGTAGCTCGGGAGCACGAATGGTATTAGGATCTTAATATTAAAAATAAATAACGATTGATCTAAATTATTATTAATATAAACAAATTATTTATTATAACTTACAATTTACGAACAAAGTTACCAAAAATGTAGGATTGTACGGAGTTCAGGTGCACGTGATGGACTCGCGGAGAACTGGTATTCTCTTACATAGGGATATTGGCCGGAGCCTTACAATCATAAAATATATATGTGTCACCTAAACCGGAGGGGCTTAATATATTATTACAGTCAGCGCATAATATGCCTAATGTGCATATTATGATGCTTATAAAATAAACGTAATGATGTAACATACGTTACATTACCCCCCTCCCTTTTTTTTGAACATTTTAAATATACCTACTATATTTAAAAAAAAATAACAATATAAATCATGTTTCATTTAAACAATACATCCCTTTTTTTTTTTTAATTTAAAAAAATATATCATTAAGGTTAGTTTTATTTAAATTGATTGAAATTGTACCTGATTTTGAAGATTTACCACTGTTTTGGTGTGAATACGTGATAAATGATATTTACATTATATATGTATACATACACTGCATGTCTGCATTAATTATACATTTAATATGCATATGATATATTATATCTTTATGTTTAGTTATTAAATTTAGTTCTGTTTTGCTCGGGCTTATCAATGTGATAACACTCATGATAATAATATATTAATTGTATTTTTGAGTGGCGAGAGCACTATATCAATTTTTTCTCGATTCATCAGTTTTTGACGATCATCGTATATGTATATAATGAAAATCAAATCTACGTAAAATTTTGCAAGTGTCAATGATGTGGTAGTGTCATTGTAAAATTTCAACCAGTTTTTTACTACCATTTTTATTTTTTATAATAATATTTTTTATGTGAACCCTTTTTCTACATTTGTATATATACGCCTAACGCATGTTTTCACACGCTCTTTTTTTTTTTTTTTTACATAATATACCTATGCCTTATAATAAATTTACAATATAAATCCACATCATACTCATGTACGATATTAGTGTTCTGAAATTATTCTTCACCCGTTCCGTCGTTTGGATGTCATCGGTCCCTCAAGGCCTCAACCAGTACTGAAACAGGGAGGTCTGTTATCGTGGTCTGTCCTTGGATAGGTGCACGCTGTACCGCTATAACCTCGGCGTCGTAAACGGTCTTGATTGAACCACCATAATATGTCTTGGATTCGAGGTTTATGGTTCGGTTATAGTCGCCTAAATTTGTAAACTTTCTCACTCTTTTTTTTGCTTACACTTTTTTTTGTGGTTGTTATGGTCAAATAAAAAAAAATTAATTTATCCTTATGCTAAAAAATAAAAGTACATAAATGATTATTTAATAATATTACTCTTATTGCACTATTCTATCTCGACACCTTGTTCTTA